TTTCCTTTCCTTTCCTTTCTTTCTTTCTTTCTTTCTTTCTTTTCTTTCTTTCTTTCTTTCTTTCTGTTCCTTTTTACAACTATTTCTTATCAAGATGAGCAGCTGTCACTAATATTCCAGATGACTTACTTTGTTTCCTCATCTGGACTTCTGTAAATGCGCCCTTGTCGTTTTTAGGCGTGACAATAAAACTTGGGGCATTATTAATAGCCACTGCAACCCTGCTCTGTTTGTCGATTGCGGTCAGTGTGATTGGATTTTTGCTCCCCACCGTCTTCGTAATCTTCATCATCGTGTTTTTCTTTACGTGGAAGCCACCCTCGGGTTCAAGGTCACTCGTTCGGACAATGACGTCATTTCCGGCATAGTTCTTGAATGCGAGTTGAATGTAGTAATGTCTGACAGGAGAAGCTGTGAAAACAGAAGAGATGCGAGATATTTATGACCTTAACTTTTCTTATTATGTGTCTTGACCAATACAAGGGTATGATACAGTAGTGGGGTACTATTTCGTATGACTGAATAATTAAGACACATGTCGCGGGCACGGCACGGGCAAAGTGATCATCATTTATTTATGCCAATCACAGTATTACTTACCGGTCAGAGTGATGGTCAAGGGGATCGCGTTTCCTTTGGTTTGTGTTGGTGTCAGGAACAAGTAGGGTTTGTAGTTGATGAATAGTGGTTTACCAGTTGTGTCGACCACTGACATGTTTACTGCGAATGGTGAGGTGACCTGAAGTACAAGGAAAGGAGACAGATTAACTAAATGACTGACTGACTAAATGATTAATTGATCGACCGACCGACCGACCGACGGACAGACCGACTGAATCCACAAAAATTACCAGGAATCCGATATCTATGCTTTTTTTAGTCAAATGTTATTTAAAATAATTGCTTGGTAAATATCAATTTTGTTTACCTGTTTAGTAATATCAGCGATCAGATTAGGCTTGATGGTAAATCCTTCAGCAGGCTGTCCATCACCCGTAAGCACACGTACATCACGTTTGGCCATGTTGGTTATCCTCATGAAGATGAAGTATCTCTTACCAACAACTACGATATAAGAACAGGCATTCAGGTTAGTATTGGACCAGCAGTTGAACTAGCTTACTAGGGGTAGCTAGATATGTAGACCTTAATATGAGATACAATGTTTCCCTATTTCAGTCCATTTGATATTCATTAAGAATGGGATTCTATTTTCATCCAACTTGCATCAGTCTCAATCGTTATTAAACAAAGGAGTGTTAATCAAGAGAATGAGGCGTGATCTAGAATTATGGGATTATCTTGAGAAAGGCCTATCCTTGAGGTAATCTGCAATGACTTATCTTCCAGGAAAAAGTGAGTAATGCTTCCCAGAAGTTTCTACATACTAAAGAAACCAAAACTCTTGTTCAGCTGTTGACTCTCACAATTTTGATACTGAAAGAGCGTACCTTACCTAAAATGTCGTAGAGTCAAAATTTCGCCTTTGTTCGCTGGGGGGAGGGGTATGGGGTTTAATTAACAAGATGTATTGTCCTACCTGGTTTACTAACGGTGATGGCATATGGATACTGTTTCGTTGCTGTTGGTGTGATAGTAATGCTCTCTGATTGGTTAATAGCCATCTGTTTCCCAGTATCCATGTTGTAGACAGTAAAGGTGGTCTCAATGTTTCCTGGCACGGTCTTGGTGATCTCAGCAATGACATTAGCGCTTATAGGGAACCCTTGAGCAGGCATGTCATCTCCAGAACGAACGATAATCCGCTGACCTACTTTGTTTGTGACTCTCATGTAGATATAGTACGTTGTTGGAGGGGTTGGTGACACGACTAGAAATATTTTACAGATATTATTAATGACTATAAGACAATTACATTAAGAGGAAATAGTATTTAATATTCTCGTCTGAATAAAAGGACAGCATCCAGGAAGCGTAATGATCATATAAAGAATAGGACCAAGTGCTTGAAAGTGTGGCGATGGTGACCGGAAACAGTTACAGTTTTTCCAACCGGAAGTCTGTCTATGGATCGCAGTGGTTACATTTCACATTCTTTACGATCACAAACTCGTAAATCATGCCACATCTTTGGAGTGGTAAAAGATTTCCATTATATAAGGGAATGTTGAGAAGTGTAAATGCTTATGAAGTAAAAAGCGTGGCCTGAGGTCTCGGGTCTTCACGTGATTTCACGGACACGTGTTTATTACATAAGTTCATGAAGTGTACTTACTGTTGACCCAGAAGAATCGGTATATCCTGATGACCATATTAGTATCCACGTACTGTTTGAAGATAGCAAGCGACGACACGTAGAACGTACCACAAGTTCCTCCAGCAGATCCCAGTCCCCTGCCGACAGCAAAGTTTGGATTCTGGTCGTTGATTGGTGGGTTGTTTGCAGCCAAGGGGTTAACTGTGCTAGCTTTTTTGTTTTCGTTGATGTAAACACTGAGACCAGCGGATGGCTTCCATGTTATCATTAGGTAGAACCAGCGACCGAGGGTGACCTGGGTAACAGCCTGAGACGAAATAAGAAGTTGTTAAAATCCTGGTCAAGCTAGCGTTGTGTTCGGTCTATTGTTACATATGTTTCATTACACGGGCGAGAAAAACAATCATAATACACAAGGGAATGATCAAGTTATTCTAAATTTGTGTCACTGAGAGGCAACCTAATATGTGTTTTTATATCTTTTAGTGAGTACGTTTTATTACATAAATTGTACTGCAGGAATAAGGAATCACAGCCCCAGCAATAGAGATACGCATAATACACAAGAGAAAAATCACTTGGTCATCTGTGACACGGTGAGGCAATCTTATATGTGTCTTTAGAGCAGACCTCAACATAACACCTCTTTGGTAAGTACGTTACATAAGACAATATAAAGTTGGAACTAATCAGCCGATGAGAAATCTCAGCACCAGAAAAGAAGAGAAGCATAATGCACAAGGGAATAATCACGGTAGTGATTTTTAGGGAGGACCTCTTCATAACTCCGATCCACTTTCATTTGTATGAAGTGTAGGGTCGTCCTTCACGAATTTGCAAGATGTGATCCTATTGGAGGGCACACATGTGTAGAACAATAGAAAACAATGACTTTTCCCCAACCCCGCCCCTAAACCTAGCCAATCACAGGGGACGTTGCAAATTCGTGAAGACTAACCTAAAGTTAGGGTTGTAGGGAGAATGAATCACAAACTAGTGTTGAATGATAAGTCCAATACGATACCTTGTAAACATTTTTAGAGGTTGAGATCTGCACCGACAGGGTTTCCCCCACAACAAACACAGACACTCCTCTTGTCATCAGACTAGTAGCACCAGTATCTAATAAATATCTGGGCTCCTGGCAGCTAGCGATGCTCTTGTCCAACTTAATCTTGAAGCCAATACTCAACCCTGTTAAGCAAGCCTCTGGATTTAGTAAGCAATCTTGTCTGGTGATCCTGGTCTGTACCCAAGATTGCTTGGAGTTAAATAAGTATCCCAGATCAATGAGTTTGTAGGTTCCTGATATCAGTAGTGGCGGGCTTCCTGTGATTTGGTTACCTTTCACGGCCAGGAAGTACCAGTAATAGCTTGTTGGTACCGGTGGTGCTGTAAAAAAAATAGGTTTTTAGTAAGAGTTTTCCTTTCCACACACAATTTATAAATACGTGAAAGACGCTTGGCCCAGAGACATTGGCAGTAAGTAAGAAGGACGTGAGGACGGATGGACTCTTTTATTGACGACTGACACTTTGGTAGAACAGATAGAAAAAAAGACTAACAGACGAACAGGAATGGACAAACAGAGGCTCGAGATATACAAATGGAAAGGTGAAGGATGGAATTACAATTAGGGAAGAGTATTTAAATATACAGAGTGACATGCCCATTGGGAGAACAAGTCAGAGAGCGGACAGACAGACAGGTTAATTGAAGCACTTACCATTGCTTGCTATTGTTGGTGTAACTACTGTTGGACCTAAACAACAAAACAGACACCGATTAGTTCTGAGTCTGCGACGAAAACAACTGAATGGCCCAACGGATTCTTATAGTTCATTGAGATCAATGATTATTACTATTGAACTCACCGTAGTTACCCGCACCACCAGCGCAATTCTGCTGACATGAAGTAGACGTTGGGAACAAGTTTTGATTCCCAAGGCAACCCTTGTATTTAATTTCTTTGCACTGAGTGGAGGCAATGTCAAAGTAGAATCTGGTTTCTTCGGATTTACACTGAAGTGGCATCCATATCTTGGCACAAATATTATTAGAAGCTGCCGAATCTGTTGGTACAGTGATATAAAAAGGAAATAAGACTTTGAAAAACTTTTGTGGTAAAGAAATAAGAAATAAGATATGCTACCAGGTGTTCATAAAATAACATTACGAGTGATAAAGGGGTTGTATGTGCTATTTTGAAGTCTCCATAAATGGTTTAATTTTAATTTTTTCTTCATAGCAGGATTTTCTGTTCATATATATAGATGTTGAATGTAGAGAATAAACCCTGGGAATAAGTTATGGCAAGATCTTAGCGATCTTTCTTAAGATTGGACCCGGAAATACGTCACAACTTAAAAGCCCTATAACTAACATTTGGCCGTGGAATCAAAAGACCATGGTGAGCGACCTCATTTCTGGTCGAGTTTCGGGCGGACCCGACATCACACTTAAGTAGAGTATGTTGGGTCTCTTTCTTGATTAGATTTTCCCCCGAGTTTTCCGATTTCCTTCCTTCGCAAAACTCAATACGCTAAATTCCTGAATCTCTGAATTAGGCCGCCCCTTGATTTAGTTAAGTCCATAGGTAAACCTGGAAAGGAATCTTACCGCATTGTTTTTCACACAACTCGCGAGTCAATTCCGGCAAGCTTCTAAATGAACAGCTCTGGTAGACTTCCCTCAGGAACGTCATACAAGGAGTGTTGAAGTCAGCTGCGTTAGCCTTCTGGATCTCTTCATTAAGTGCGCTATAGCAAGGACCGTCTGGTTTTGGCAGTGCACAGCGTTGAACTGTTTATTAGATATAGAGGTAAAGCATAATCACCTTAAATTGGAGTAAGTTATTGCAGTATCCTCTTAAGGTGCGATTACGCGGAGCAATTTTCTCTGTAACTTGTCTTGCAACGGCATTGCGACACAAGTTACAAGAGTGTTTGCACGGTGCAACGGAGACGCAGTCGTTGCCAAAATTAGAAACGCAACTTGTCTCGCAACATTTTTTTTTCAAATTGCGCTGTAGATTACACGCTGCAATGCTCCATGCAACTTGTATCGCAACGCTGTAATCGCGCGTAATCGCGCATTTAAGGTCAGGCCGGACGAAGCATTGAAAACAATGGATAATAGGAAAGTCTTTCATAAGGTTCGGCTCATGTGGAATTAAACGTTTGGTTTCGGCTTTACAAGGTTATTCAAGTTTACTCAAGACATTAGGGAATAGTCGATGCCCTAATCATCATTCTTAAATGTGCGCGCGGTAGATTTTGATGAATTGTCATGATCTCATTTGAAACCTTTTCCACTAATTCCGACACCAACGCCAACGCCATACCAAGATCAAAAATGAAAAAGCAGCGCAATCCTTGTAAATCTTTCTTGAGCAGAAAATTCTAAATGGCTAGTAACAAATATAGTCAACTCTCGCCTTGCGAACACCCCGATATTACGCACCGCTATTGCGGACAGGAGCAAAATCCTTAGCGAAAAATATTTCAAAGACATGACCGTAATTAATTTTCGCTAATACAGACACCAAGAGACGGTCCTGAGGCTGTCCGCTGTACTGAGAGTTGATTGAATTTGGATTTGGAGACGTTAGAATAAATGGATCATTTAGTGATACTTCAAGCATCATTATCAACCAAAATGACCAGGTTTCAGAGTGCACTGAAGCCTTGTGTTTATATCAACCTACCATTTTCACAAGCAAGACCATAATATCCGTTTGCACACTGGCACACTCTATTGACACATTTGCCGCCATTGACACAGTTAGTTTGGCATGTTGCTGAAACAGAACATGCATATTTAAGTAAGTTATAATTGCTAAGGGCAACTGATCAACAATTTAAGGGAGATAGTTATTGCGAGCGTATGGACTTACAATTTTCGCAGCGTTTTCCAAAGTAGTCGGGCATACATGTGCATGTGTTTGGCCCGCTGCAGGTTCCTCCGTTCATACAGTACTTGACACAGATGGCTGTAGAAAGAAAATCACCGCTGTCAATTTGTGGTATCTTATTGGCGCCAAAAACAGCTAACTAATGACTCGATGACTTAGGTTTAAAAAACAAGACATCAATTATTGCAAGTAAGCAAGCCTGGAAAAAGAGAGAAAATGAGGGGGAATAGAAGGAAGGAAACAGAATAGAAAGGAAGGAAAGAAATAAGGAAGGAAGGAAAGAGGAAGGAAAGGAGGAAGAAAGAAGGATTGAGATAAGGAAATGAAAGGAAAAGAAGGAAGGAAGAAAACAAGCAAGCACTATTATGCGAATTCTTTTCACTATACAAGTGTTAAAGGCTATTTTCAGTAAATGCTGGTAACTCACGTTTCTCGCAATTCTTTCCTCTCCATGAAGGTGGGCATAAGCAGGCGTTTGTCTTTGGATCAACACAAGTGCCACCATTTTGACAAGGCTTCTTGCAGATTGCTATACAAACACGTAAAAAACATAAAATATTACGTCTAGTTACTGAAGAAAATGTAGACATTGTCAAGAATACAAACCTGTCTGACAGTATGTTCCCTCGTACAGACCCGCGGGACACTTGCAGTGGTTGTTGATACAGTCACCACCATTCTGACAGGGAGGACTGCAAGGACCTGCGTGAGATAGAACTGCCTTAATACTAATGCTAACAGACAGGTACGTTTGTAGATATATAGCTGTATTTAATTAATATTTTATAATTTTATAGCTGTCTCTAATTAAAGCCTGGTTATTTTGTAAAAGGATCACTTTTGTGGAAGATATAGATCCCTTGCATGTGACATCAAAGCAGCTTATTTTTGAGTAAAACAAAATAATTTCAATCTCCTAAGAATTGGAAACCTGTCGTTATATCTTCCAAATTGAGCTGCATTCTGATTGGCTGTAAGAGGAAGCAATGTTGTGATTTTATTTTCCTACACCAACGAAAAGAAAACGATCTAACAAAAAAAAATCAACAAAAAAATTTGTAATGTTTCTTACTAGGGCAGGGTTTGGTGTTACACTTCCTGGTTTCCAGCTCGTTCCCAAGCCCCTGGTCGATGCAGTTTTTCCCGCCATTCTGAGGCGCTGGATGGTCGCACTTGCGTGATCTCATTTGTGATCCTCCACCGCACGTGGCAGTGCATTCTGACCAATCAGACCAAGGTGAGTATCCTCCATTGACTGAAAATAAAACGCAATAGAATATAGAATCAAATTCTGATTATCAAAAGTCTAAGTACTTGATGCTTAATGACGCAGTGAAAGTCAAAAATCGGTTAAGTTAAACCCTTGCTGTAAAAATGATAAAAGTAATTTATCTTGCTTCGATAGCGCAATAGCCCAATAGCGCAGCGCACTGATTCTAAAAATAGCTTAAAGATTCGGACAAACATTGCATTCTGTTTAACCGCTACGAGGATTATACGAACAGATTTTATTATTTTTACTTAAAGTTACAATAATAACCMATGTAAACTAAGATCAACTGCGATCGGCTGTGAAAATTATCTGCTGAAAGTAAACTTGTAAGTTTGTTTGTCCGAATTTCGCCTTTTTCTTCGTTTTTATGACGTCACGACTGCGCTGCGCTATTCTCCCGAACCATGGGCTCATTTGTAAAGCGTTTAAAGTCTTTTAATGAACTTTTTTGTTTTACCAACCTGTTTGTCCAGGACAAGGCAGAGTATTACATTCTCTTGTTTCGATGTCTCCTCCCTGGGCTGAGCAGTCAGCTCCACCGTTCAGCGGTTCTGGGTTGGTACAGTTTCTCGTTCTCAGTTGCATTCCTCCTCCACATGATTTCGGACATGGGGTCCAGGCCGACCACTCGTTGTAGCCACCAGCAACTAGTGAAGAGGAAAAGAAACATTTCAAGGACATGTAGACATGAGTCTATCTTGAAACGTTAAGACTTTAGGTCTTAGAGTGCGATGACATCATAGTTGCCATGTTACAAGAATCGATGCGTTCGATATCTTATATAACTCTCCTGAGTAATATTGCTTTGTTTGTAGGCAACGCTCAAAAACCAAAGGAAAGAATTTTCTTTCATTCGCTTTGGAATGATTAATTTCCTCAGAGGAAGTGAATGAGAGGGAATGAGAACATCTTAGTTCTATTTCTTTTCTTCTCTTTTTTCACTGAACAACAAAGGTTATTTTAATTTCCCTTACGATCGAGCGTAGCTAAAATAGAGATACTTGGTATATATATATAAAGAAACGCTGATGGACTACAAACCTGGCGAGGGACACATCTCGTCTGGTTCGCTTTCACTTGGAGCTGTAAAGAGAAACGTATAATAGATATTAAGAACTGCACACAGCGTTTAGATCAATTGGAAGAACAGGGCAATAAAAATAGACCCGTTTAGCTTGGAAGAAAGGCTTTTCCATCACTTCAAAAACATTTTGACGTTTGCTTATGAGGAGACGCATGAATATGTATACATCTTAAACAAAGAATCTTACTCAAAAAAAGAGAATGATACGTGGTCTGAAATGGAAAAGCATAAGCAAAAAAGGTCAATATACCCCTTGCAACACGTCGAAATACAGCTCATTCAGCTCAGCTCAATTTGGAGGACATAACAATAGGCTTCCAAATCTCAGCACCTTGACATTCTTTTGTTTTGTCTCCCAAATTGAGCTGCTTTGACGTTTTTTTGCAAGGGGTTTATTGGAATTATTAAAGATGTATGAAAGTATTGATTTTATTCTTACGTTTCAGCATGGAAGACGCCTCTTTCATCCAGTACCAGATAAGTCCAGGGTTATCTAACTTGCCCATTATCCAAGGTGCCGGCTTGAACTGACGTTTCTTAGCAACGATTGTACCGTACCATTCCTTGCCAACCCTGTCTGAGGTGGTAAGGTAGGCGTATTCATCGTCTTGTGGTAGCCATGGCAACCGGTTACCAAGGGCTGTAGGACCGTACTCCCATGAAGGAGGAAACTTCTCTACCTCAGTCAGACCCGTTAGGTTACCAGAAGTTGAAGTAAAACTGTATTACGAGAAAGTAATTGTTAAGTGACTTGATGGGATATTTATAATAGACTTCTTTAACCTGTGCGTAATGTTTCCCATTTCAGACCACGTGTCATTCCATATTTATGTCTTATGCGCAACCGTTAAACAAAGAAATGTTACTCTAGGGAATGGCAGGTGGTCTGAAATAGGAAAAAATTACAGCCAAGCTAAAAAATAGTTTACAAAGACAAGGGTAGGCAAAAAGAAATTAGGGTTAGGTTATAATAAGCCTTTAAGAATAAATGCGACTCCCTTTGGAATCGTCCTTGTATCGAGGCGTACATATAAAGTAATTGGCCTTACCTGTATGTCTGAGGAGCGCTCCATATTCCTCCATAAACCATACGTTCATTTGCTTCCAGTCGATACTGGAATGAGCCAAGAGAAATGGCTTTGATGGCATCGGCCTCGCCAAGGATCGAATAATCCTTTGTCAATGAAGGCTCGTCTGGATTCCTAAAATGGGAGATGCAAACAATTCAATTAGTCTTTAAAATTAATGTATAAAATAAATGCCCGCGTTTGATATCTAGAGCAGTTTTCGTATGACTGTGAAAATCTCACGGCATGAACACGGTCGTGACACGGCAAGGCATACGCCAGCTCAAGCACATTGCAGAAAATTTACTCTCCATCCAATCAAATGCCCGAAACACGGCATGAACACGGCGCGGACACGGTCACGCCAATGTCACGGCACTGTCAGACCAATCACATTGCGCGAGAAAAAAAATCCCCCAATCAAAAGTCTAGAAAACATCACGGTCGCTCAAGGCACGCATACGGCACCGACTTTTTCACAGTCATATGAAAACTGCTCCAAGAATTCGGATTTGATATCGAGTAGGATGGTATGATTTTCAGATACATGTACAGCTAGCTAGAGATACAACATTGCCATACATGACGTCTCTACCTATAGTTGAATTAAAACCTAGACTGACAGTAAGCTAATTACTCAAGCGTCTTTCCTTGCTAGTTGGCTGCGGCAACCATTCCAAAGAGTATCAACGTACAAGACATGGCAGCCATGTTGGTGGTATGAACAAAGTAAGGCATAGAAAAATCTCAAAATCGAGTTCCTCCAACATGGCCGTCATATATCGCAAGCAAATATGAACATAATGGCGCAAAAGCTAATCGCAGCAAAAGCTAATTCTTCACAGACTTCCTACCTCGACTTGATATTGTCAGCGGTCCATCCATCGTTGGTTGCCGAGGTAACCAGTAAAGTCCAGCCTCCATGGGAGTGTGTCATGTCACAATAGACAATTATCTCTCGTGCTGTAACCTTCTCATTGATGTAGATGTTATAGAGACCATCTTCACGCTTATGACAACGCTCGTAGAACTCACGGCATGATCGGATGGGAACTAAAGTATAATGAGGTCATTGGTAAATAAGTTTGAGGCTCCACGGTTATAAGTGCGTGCGCAAAAAGGGTTTAAAAAGGGATGTATTGGAAATACCTTTGCTATGGTGCCGAGTAAAAAATATAGATGCTTGATGCCAGCCATGACAGTAGGGAGGAACAAATAGATATGGTCTAATCCGGTTTACATGAGAAAGACTAAATTCAGTTTCTCAGGAGCAAAAGACTATTGCTGTGCCTACTGTTATGGCTGCCATCACGTGATAATGGTGCAAAGCCTCTATGCACGAAGTTGGCTTCTTTGAACGTATAATATTTGAACTAGAAGCATAGTTTAAACTTCTGAGTCAGGCTGACGTTAAGCAAGGAGGTGTTGGGAAGAATTTAGGGTCAGTATAAGAGGCAATAGGCAACAAAGCGTAAGTCAAGGAGAATATAGTTACTTACTTTTGGGTGCTGCAAAAAATTCATCCAAGAAAAACAAAAAAAAGGAAAAAGATCATTAGCACTAGATAAACAAATATCTTCCTAAAATGAGAAGTAAGCTATGGTCCTTTCCTAAATTTCCTCAGTAAATGACCTTAAAAATAGATGCGTGTTCTGTCGTCTAGCTTGGGTACAAACATCTTTTGGTCATCATGCCTTATATGGTGTTGTTTGTACCCAAGATAGACCCCAATGCATCCTGTTTGTCATAAACTCGGAAATAACTCATGGTTGCAGATCGACTTTGTTCTGGCTGTTTTCATGCATTTACTGTATTATACCGTTGTGAAATAATTTGAAGTCTTGGTGTTTGACATATTATTCAAATGATAATATGCAGCAAGGGTTCTATCCCCAAAAATCCACTGTAAAGTCCAACTTTGACTTGGAATCATAGTTTCGCTTTAGTGAAGTATAGATGTTATTGTTACCTGGACATTCCTGCATATTACATTGTTTGGTTTGAACAGGTCCTTCAGGATCCTCACACCGCTGACCACCAAACATTGGGATGGGTTCCGTGCACGTGCGTGACCGTGACGTCACGCCACCACCACACGATACGGAACACTGGGTCCAGTCACTCCACTTAGAGTAGCCTCCATCGACTAGAAATAACAAAAAAGGGTACGTCAAACCCTAGGCTGTAGTCATATGGCGTTTCACTAAGCATAGTAGGCACGTGATTTTTTAGCGGAATTATACGGTGTAGATTAAGGGGGGAAGAAAACGATAAAGTAAAAAGTAATGAATTATGGGAACATGTAAAGAAAGAGAGGAAAATGACAGAAAAATAGGAGAACTGCAAAAGAATTTAAATTCTAAATTATTTGTTTTAATCTAAGATGGAAAGTATCGTGATAAAATGTATTTATAAAAAGAAATCCTATTGGAATAAAATGGTTGCAGAAATTTAAAAATTCGACTATTTACTGACTCAACTGTCGACGAAATACAAAATTAACTAACAATGAAATGAAAACAATATTTTAGCAATCTCGTTTGCTCTGATATGTTTGCTTACCCGGACATGGATTAGTTGCACATGTCTTGGTCTCATTCTCAGCCTTGCCATCCTTTGATTTCACAGATCTCCATTTTACACCAACACCACAGCTCTTTGAACACTGTGACCAACCCTCATCAGGTCCCATGTTAGATGCTATACACAACACGAACAGTTAGTATGTTATCTGTTTATGGGATGGTGGAGGGGCTCATTTAAATTGAGTCTCTAGTTGGGCTAGCTTTGTCCCAGAAAAAACCCTCGAGGGATCAGACAAAATCAAGCTTTGAATTCTTAATACCCAAGCATCAAAAATCGTACTTCAAATATCTGACTTTCTCAGTCATATATATTTTCACTTATATCTTATAGCTAAATTTGCTTTGCCCTACTAGTATAAAATCAATTATGAACCGTTGGGCTCCCTGTGTTATTCGTAATTCGCACGCACCGAACATTCTTTAGCGCCCGTGCGGCGAGATAATTAGCATAAGAAAAAGTTACCAGAAATGTTTATTTACTTGGGAGTTTCAGCTTTGAAAGTCGTCTTTATGTGGATTCTTTATGATGAATTTTCTTATTTGACACCAAATACTATCGGGTAAGCTTTATTTAATGTATAATCTCCAAAGAAACTCTATATTTTCTCGTTTTCTGTTTGTTATATCGACGTTCTAATTCGCTTCAAAATGCATGCTGCAGGAAAATACTTGATTGTTGATTGAAGTAATATCGAGATGTTGTTGACGTCTAAAAGCGAGATGACACGAATATAATGGTAAGTCATTCACGGTGTTTATAGCCAGACGTTTTTCTCATAATATTATATTACTCGTATTAAATAATAGTCTAAAACGAGTTTTTGCGCAAGCAAAAGAAGTATAACTAAGTTACTAGTCTACAAATGGCGTCGGCCTTTTTAGCACCGAAAATTAACAATAGAAATACTTTTAGCTATTATGAAAAATTACAATTTTACGATTCACGTATGAATAACCGTTTGGACTTTCCATTTATTTGGACAAATGATACGTTATATATAGCGGCTTCCTGTGTTTAATTGTGACTTCATATGTATACTTTAATAAGCTTTAAAATTGGAAAATAAGGCACATGGCTGCAAATACTTTCTATCTACTTACGTTCCGGTGGACAAGGGGCATTAACACAGGCTTTCCTATCAGTGGGGCTGCCCAGACCACTGCAGTCAGAGCCTCCAAAATCTGGGGTGGGGTTGGAGCAGTTTCTTGTTCGATACTGTTGGCCGTCCCCGCATGTCACCGTGCATTTACTCCAGGGCGTCCATTCAGAGTAACCACCATTAACTTTAGAAAAAAGACATATTTATAGGCAAATATATTTCCATAAATCCAATGATTTTTGAAATGGAGCTAGTCCTACTGAGGAATCTTTAGAAAGAACGTAATAAATTAAAGATAAGAAACGTAGTGGAAAAACAATTAAGAGGAACGAAATTCCAGTCAAGATATATTGATAATAAATATAACTTTAATAGCTAAACGAATCAGTTCTAATCTAAAACGTTGATAGGCGGCCTACGTTGGAAAATGTCACTATTTTACTGATTACATAAGCACATGAAAACCTCGTAAGCATTAGAGCACACTGATTCATATAAAATTTTAAAGCGAAGCCTGGTTGTCAAGCACACCGACCTAAGACGATTCAAGCAGTAGCAACTCGATCCAAACGGAAGCGCAAGAGAACGGAAGATTTTGTTTTTCTTGCGTCGGCTTCCCGTATCAAAAAGGCATCAAAAAGGAATGTCTCGTGTGCAAAAATGTGTTAAGCAGTATTCAAATCAAAACCTTGTTCGCCAAGTAAACTGAATATAATTTAAGGTAGAGTCCACGAGGAACTGATGACTTACCAGGACATGACTGAGTGTTACATTTGGCAGTTTCGGTGGATTTACCAATTGAGGTACAGTCTTTGCCTCCATTTTCTGGAGGAGGGTTGGTACACATTCGAGAGCGCATGTGTTCACCTCCTCCACAAGTGACGGTACAGCTACTCCACTCTGTCCACTCAGAATAGTTACCATTAACTGGAAATACAGAAAAAAGATTTACTTGATACAGATGCTTAGTAAATAGATTGTATCCCTTATCCACTTGTCAGTAAATAAATAGAAAAATGTACTTTGTCGTCTATTCTTAGCAAAACAAGAAAAAACACCCACAAGAGATTAAACGTTTAAAAATCTTCAGAATAAAATGTTCTACAGGAATGTCCCATGCTAACATATTTTTTAAGAGGGGAAAAAATTCATTTTTTTTTTTTTTCGAAATGACTTGTTGAGCTTTTCAATTTTATGAATTGTAAAATAAAAGGTCTGAAACCCTTTTAAAAGGCACTTCATTCGTTGCGCATTAGTTCTACTAGAAAATTAAATTGACATACTTGGACAAGGCATCATATTGCAAGACTGTGACTCCTGATCTCCGCCAAGAATAGAACAATCCTTTCCTCCATTCTGTGGCTCTGGGTTGCTGCAGTTTCTAGTTCTCTTGATGATCCCTCCACCACAGGTTTTGGAGCATTCTGACCAATCAGTCCATCCCGTGTAGCCGCCTGAAACTATGTGTACAACAAGACAAACAAACGAAAATTTCAGAATGAGAATCCACATAAAAGGCACATTAGCTAATCACGAGTTATTCAAGTTTGGATTTCTGAGTGAAGTGGTTAGGTTGCTGGTTCACAAATGATAGATTCGTATGGGATATTTTGATTCAATGGTGCGCGCTTACTCGCGATCGTCCCAAAGCACACGCCAAAATGCTAAGAACAAGAAAGTGGTGAACATCCTTGCACCATCGTTTTAAATTTAGCAATATGGAAATTAAATTGTATCAATCAGGCAATAATCTCTGTCTCCTCTCGACGAGCCAAAAGGAGAGGAAGTCTTACCAGGACATGGATTGGTACTGCAGTTTCTTGTCTGATGTGAAGGCCCAAGAATAGCACAACTCCTTCCACCCTGGGCTGGTGCAGGGTTGGTACACGTTCTGGTTCGTTGTTGGGTTCCTCCACCGCACGATGAGCTACATGGGCCGAATGTACTCCACTCATTGTATCCACCATTAACTAGAAAGAAAGACAGTACGGATCATTCACTATGTAAATCTGCTTATAACTGTGGTTCTACTTAAATCACTGTCGATACTACCTTACCCATAACACTTAGCTCAATTTCTACTATTTAAAACATGGTTTTTCAATTGATTATATCTTTTATAAAGCTTTGGTTTTGTCATCTCAGCAGCGCTGACTCATCAATACCTTGACTATTGCGTGCATTGCGCAAAATTTCAGTAAGTTCAATGTATTCTAAATCGAGTATGGGTCACTGGTACACTGACAAATGACCAAATGTACGCAAGGTCAGTCAGTTCCATAAAATTTGAAATCAATTCCGAGTTTATTATAATAGGACAATGTTATTTTATTTCGGTGTTTGTATCCTACCTGGACATGGTTGGATGTTACAGTCTCTTGTTTCTGTGGTTGAACCCGTGCAGGGTCGTCCACCATTCGCTGGTGCTGGATTAGTACATGTACGCATGCGCATCTGTGTGCCTCCACCGCAAGTCACCTCACACCTTGAGTAGTTACCCCACTCACCGAACCCTCCATCAACTACGGAAAAACATGTTAGGATCATTGTTAGTAAATAGTTAGGTGTTAGGAGTTCAGATTTGGGATCCTAGATTTGTGTCAACTGTCTCAGCTAACATTACATGGCATCACTAGCTTCACAATACATTCTACGAAATGATGAAATATTTAGTTGTTAGGAGTTCAGATTTGTGTCAACTGTCTGAGCATTGTATGAAATTACTCTAGCTCCACAATACATTTTGTTCCTAATCATAAAGTTAAAGCTTACTCAGTAAGTGGCAACTTACTTGGACATGGCTGCGCGTTACAAGATTTTGTCTCTTTGTATGAACCAGTGCAGTTCTTCCCACCAAACTGAGGTTCAGGGCTGGTACATGAACGCAACCTCACTTGCACTCCACCACCGCACGTCTTACTGCATGTGGAGTAGTTCGAGAATGAAGTAAAGGCACCGTCGACTGAAACAAACCAAGCATCAAAGGCATTATTTTAAGGTTAACAAGGATTAATAATGTTAGCAATTGAAATATACGTGGGAAAGCGGGCTTCTAATCTTTACGAAATAGTGTAAATTTTCTTTAGAAATATCCATTGAAGAAGATATAGAGAGGAAATAGAGAGTTTTAGATTGACGTTCACGGCAAACGTGTAACGTCAGTTGACCAGTGAAAAATTCTTTTAAAGAATAAGTGAAAAGGAATCGCAAAAAACTCTAAGTAGTAGAAAAACAAAAGAATATTTTTTGTGATATGAAAGTTTGCAAGAGGTAAAGTAAAATACATGAAAACGATGAAAACGTGGTCATGTTTGCCGCTTGCGGGAAGAAAAAAAGTCTATCTAAAGCTCTCTAATAGATCGGCTTGGGCGTGATCTTATTTTCCATTTCAGACCAACACTAATTTTGTTTAGTATCATTACTTTGTTTAACGGTGAAGATAAATTAAAACCTTATTCGTAATAGAATACGTGGTCAAAAAAGTCTATTAATTGTATTCTTATTTTCATATAATTATATGCTTATTCTCAATCATATTAACACGAATGGCCGCCTAAGCCTTGGAGTTTTTATCACCCTGTTACTTCTACTACACTAAGACACTAGCTTCTCAGATATACTGTAATCGCATCTTCCCAAGAACCTTACAAGCAACAAGGCGCGCGCGTCTTACGTTACAAATGTTTCCACTGAGAAGACAAAAGACTTACTTGGGCATAACTGTGTATTGCACTTTCTTGTTTCAAAGTCAGGCCCGTCTTTAGAGCAGTCGTCTCCGCCATGCCTTGGTGGTGGGTTGGTACATGTTCTTGTTCGGATTTGAGTTCCTCCTCCACACGTTACTGTACAGTCTGAGAAATTGGTGAACGGAGAGTATCCGCCATCCACTGGAAATAAAATGGGAAAATATGATTCATCTTTTTATAACTGAGTTATCTATTAACTAGGCTGCAACTATGCTGTTCTTTGTCCTTGAGTTATAAGTCTTAGAGGATAATGGACGGAGAGTATCCGCCATCCACTGGTGTTAGAATGGGAAAATAATTGATACAAGAGGATAATTATTTTTTCACATCATACTGAGCTCTCTCTCTCTCTCTCTCTCTCTCTCTCTCTCTCTCTCTCTCTCTCTCTCTCTTGATGCAACTGGGATGAGCTTTGCCTCTAATTCCAGACTTCAGTCATAATTAAGAACTATACCATCATGATATTTGGATTTCAATTCAGAAGCAGATTTAGGAGAGGCTCAATTGGTGTCAGTGAAACCCTTCTAAAGACTTAAGACGTACCTGGACATTTTTGAGTGTTGCATTCTCTAGAAATGCGTGTTGGACCAAGCTCGGAACAGTTTTTACCTCCATGTTGGGGAGGAGGGTTTGTACACATACGTGTCTTGTATTGGACACCACCACCACACGTGGCACTGCACGTCATAAACTCTGACCAATCACTGAAGTTTCCATCGACTGATCGGAAAAAATGTAAATAGATTAGAAAATGAGAAATATCAAAGACTTTTTGTCGACCGAAGGGCAAACAAAACAAAAAGGAAAAGAGACATCGTAGTTAGTCTTACTTGGACAGTAGAAGGTATTACAAGCTCTTGTTTCATTAGCAGGTCCGAGTCTTGTACAGTTCTTTCCTCCATATAATGGTTTCGGGTTATCACAAGTTCTTGTCCTGAATTGCATTCCTCCACCACAAGACTTGCTGCAGTCTAGAAACTTGCCCCAATTACCGTATCCTCCGTCCTCTGTTTACATTACAAAAGGAAAAAATTAGGTTTTTGAACCACTTAAAAACTCGTTGCTTTGAGGAACGTTGGTAGAGTATAATGTGGTCTTTCATTGAATTTCAAAATGACGAAACGTGTTGCAGCCCATCACAATATATGTTGACATACCTGGACAAGGCTTTGTGTTGCATGTCTTAGTCTCGAAGGACGGCCCAAGTACATCACAGTTTTTGCCTCCATTCTTTGGTGCTGGGTTTGTACACGTGCGTGTCCTTTGCTGGATTCCACCGCTGCATGTTGCAGAACACTCGGTCCATTCTGTCCATCCAGTGTAGTTACCATCAACTGAATCGATAAATGGTAAATATATTATTAGTAAGATTAAGAAAGGAAAGTTCTACACAAAATTTTCAATCATCGTCAATTGGCACAATCATCAAAGATCATCATTATCATCATCCATCTTCGATTATCAATCGTCTATCATTATCAATTGACACAATCATCAAAAGATCATCATCATCGTCCATCATCGACTAACCTTCATGCATCATGCATTACCGTAAAGAGCCTTAAAGAGCCTTAAAACTGTACTATACTGTATACTATACTGTATATAATTTATATTTTATTATTGTGCTCATTCTTACCTGGTGGTAGAGGAGCTGAAATATTCAAAAATAGACATAACAATTTAGACAATGAAATAATTCATAAACATGATGATATTAAAATAATAAGTTGGAAAATAAAGGTCAAAACTAAGAATAAATAAATTTAATAAATATTTTTATTTACGTCGCAAAACGGGGAATCCGACATTGCCAAGTCTCCCTAGCCAGAGAATAATGTTTAAGTATACGGCACACACTCCACACTCCACACTCACTACCACTACTTTTAATGTTTTAAGCGCACAAATCTCATGTCAATTGATGAGATAAATGCAACATAGCATATTTTAATAAATCTCATAGGGTTACTTACTTGTAGCTGGTTTTGTAGTAGAAGGCGTAGTAGGTGGTGCCACAGTAGTAGTTGTCTTATTTGGTGCTTGAGTGGAAGTTGATGCAGGAGTTGAAGGCGTACTTGGTGTTGTTTGGGGTGCTGTGGTGGGTAATGGTGTTGGTGGTGGTGGTGGTGTTGGACATGGTGCAGGACAAGGAACCGGACATGGTGGTGGACAGTTCGGTGGAGTAACGCAAGGTCCACAAGGGTTTGGTGTAGTTTGTGGTGGTAAGGTGGGTGGAGGTTTAGTTTGTGGTGGTAAGGTGGGTGGAGGTTTAGTTTGTGGTGGTAAGGTGGGTGGAGGTTTAGTTTGTGGTGGTAAGGTGGGTGGCGGTGCAGTTTGTGGTGGTAAGGTGGGTGGTGGTGTAGTTTGTGGTGGTAAGGTGGGTGGTGGTGTAGTTTGTGGTGGTAAGGTGGGTGGTGGTGTAGTTTGTGGTGGTAAGGTGGGTGGAGGTGTAGTTTGTGGAGGCAGAGTTGGTGGTGGTGTTGTTTGTGGTGGTAAGGTCTGTGGACACGGAGGTGGACAAGAAGATGGTGAAAGACATGGACCGCATGGAGTAGTAGTCTGAGGAGTAGTAGGAGGAGTAGTCTGAGATGGCAATGGAGGAGGAGGAGTAGTCTTAGGAGGCAGTGGAGGAGGGGTGGTAGTTTGTGGAGGTTGTGTGGTGACAGAGGGTGTTGTGACTTGCGGAGGACATGTAGTTGGACAGTTGGGCGGCGTTAAACAAGGTCCACACGGATTTTGTGTTGTTGTAACTACAGTTACTGGTTTGCTAGTTGCTGTTGTCCCTGGACGCTTAGTGGTGACCGGTAGAATTGGTTTGTAGTTGGCTGTTGGACATCCTAAATGATGGTAGGGTATGCCTATTTATATGCAAAGAAAAGAGTAAGAATTTTTAACGCCAAGCTTCAAATAATTTGAATTTAAAGCCGTAAAAGAACTACTGTAAGCTATTGCAATGTTGAAGAGGACGCCTTGAAATTAAACAAACATAACTGGATAATTAAATCAGCATAAATAAAGTATTTTAATTTTTATTGCATGTTACTGTATGAAATAACCAATCCATACCTAGATTTCTAAGAGATTCTGGGAAGACAGATCTCCCTGCAAATTTATTTGACTCATCGATGCTATCTCGGAGAGTCGCTAGAGGATCTGCCACGAGGTTACGGAAGTAAATAACGAAGAACACAGCCAAGGCCTTTGGGCCACTTGGATGATGTGGATTTTGCTCGGGCCTAAAACACAATAATAAAGTATGCATTGATTAATAACTGATAGAATCAAAAAATGAAAAAAAAAAGGAGACTTTTTTAAACAAATATAGCGTTTTATGGCATTTTGCTATGTAAGTCTCCGTAAGTTGACCTCAGTTGAAATGCGAGTCTCACGAAATATTTATAAATGATATTATTTCACCATCATCTTCATCATCACATTTGTCATTATCATCAGCATTGTTATTATCACTCATTATATTATCATTTTTAACATCATCATCATCCGTGTTATATTCCAACTTCAGGACTAACGTCTCGGACAGTTTTACATGATGGTTATTTTTTCTTAGTATTAGCTTGAAATTCCAGGAATTTCATTAATTCAACGTCCTTCAAAAAAGCATGATTTTACCCTACACGCTCTTCTTACTACATTCCGAGATTACTGGTATTATTCACATGCCAAGGGGAGACCAGCGAGAGAGAGAGAACACCACACCACATACAATCACTTAAACAATTACAGCTAAATATAAACGAATATAAAACGCAGTCAACAAACCTTGCTTCGCTAAAGTAAACTTTGTTGAAATCTGGATGAACCTTGTAAATTTGTTTCAACTATGAAAAGAAAGAGTATAACGCTAGTTTAGTATGCTTGATAAAATTACAAATATGCCAAATAATGTGACAAGCAAAAACTTGATGACAGAGATCCATAAGGCTTATATGACTTGTACTTGATTCTGCTTTTACAATAGCATGAAGTGACTAGGGAACATCACTACTCCCTCCCCTGGATATATAGAATGCAATTCCATCGTGAATTTCTTGATATCTCTCTATAAAAATTTTGCACCATCACGTGATGGCAGCCATGACAGGAGGAAGGAACAATTGAATCTGGTCTAATTTCATTTGAATAAGAAAGAATTCATTTTCCCAGAATAAAACGACTATTGTTGTGTCCCCTGTCATGACTACAGTTTGTTTAAAAGGCGGTTTTGAATTTTAAAAAATAAAAATTAATGATAATTTATTTACTGTACTTACCGAGTTCTCAACGTCTTTTTGAAGTTGATTGTAGTACAGTCCTAACTTGTCTTTCAGTTGAGGATACCAAACTTGCTTAAATTTGACGGTGACACAGACTTCGTAGGGTGCCCCTAAGTAAAGTGAACACAAGAACTACTGCATGAGCAGAGAACATCATATGTAAAGTATTAAGTATAGGTCAGCAGTTCGAATCAGTTTTCTATCGCATTGATTCCACAATGACTTCAAAGACGAAATGATATTTGACTGTGGGCCCAACCGCTATTCCTCATACGAAGGTGGTAGCCGCATCGTTGTGGTTTTCAAAGATTGCAGCACATTAACCAATCAAAATAGCTTCGGCAACCGTTAGTATACCGCGACCAAACTTTTTCTTGCTGCATGCAGTTGGCGGAACTTGGTTTTTTCGTTAGATTCAAGGCGACCTCCTTAATGGAGTTCAAACCAAATTGTTCTCTTAAACAGACGGAACTTTTGTTTCTTCGTTGTATTCATGGCGACCTCCTTAATGGAATCAAAAACAAATTGTGCTCCTAAACAGGCTATATCCTCTAGCAATTGAACAATATCAGTACTTTTCAGTTGTTTAGAAACACTCACTGTTGTGGTGTTCCTGCCTGTGATTTTCGTCATGGGCGAAGACAAAAAAATGGATAAAAAAAGAAATAAAACAGAAGTCGAAGATTATTATCATGAAAACACTTACCAAGTGGAACAGTTGGTTTAGCTGTGGTTGGTGCAGGAGCCACCGTTGTCGTTGGTTGCCCTGGACAACCCTCATTGTCGGGCCCCTTAGCAGGGGTAACCCCATCAGGACAGCATTTAAATACTGACACAAGACAGATGGTGAAGGCGTAAGGACGAGGATTAGTTGGTAGGACTGGTGCCTGGCAGTTGGGTTGCTTTTCGCTGAGTCTCGTTCCAGGTCGCTCCACTCCAGAATCCTTATCGACACACCAACATTCGGTATTTTCAGTGACAGGGAATGTGTAGCACTGTATTTCATTATACTCGCCGTTTGGTTGGCAATCTGGAATGAACATATCTAGGGCTCCGTTCTTTGCCTGGTCTTGTTCTTGTTGGCATTTTGAAAGGTGGCCAGGAACTATAGTATTGCATCCCTCTTGGTTTGGTCCCTTGGCTGAGGTAACGCCGTCTAAGCAGCAACCATAAGGAGATGACTTACAAGTCATGGGTTCTGCTGCTGCAACTTGTGTGTCTCCTATTATCAAAAAATTACAAGATAAAAATTGCATACACAATGAAAAAAAAAACAGTAAACAAGGTTCGCTTTAAATAAGATTTTCCAAACTAGATCTAAATGCCAAAATGTATAGACTTAGTACCAATTAATACATCAGGTTATGTCCTTTCCCAGCATTTCGGTCTCAACTTTTATATTCTTTGTTTTGAACCCGCCAATGATTTTGCAAGTGAGTTTCGCGATTCTTTTAGTCAATGGTGATATTATACAACTGATATAATCATACATTTCAACTGGACGCAAAATATTACTTGAAATATTACTTGAATATGACTTGAAATATTTTGAAATTTTACAAACGTTTCGATCCGTGAGCACAAAATAGTTGAGATATACATGAACTTCTTATCAAAGATATTCATAGCATTATTTTTACCGCAAACGGGTTTAGTGGCTCCATAAGTCTTTGTTCCCTTGATTTGCTGTCCTGTCATGTCCACACACCAGCACTGCTTGCCGTAGGTTGAGTGTTCAAAGCATTGTATTGGCTCAAAGTTCCCAAGGCTATTACACGTCGGTACATAGATATCTGGTACGTAAGCAGAGCTCGCTATTTTACGTTCACGCTCACACAGTGTCTCTTGGTGAACTAAAAATCCCAATTAACAATGAAAGTTGTATCAATATAGCTCAAAGATTATGCAAAAAGTCAAAATTTTATCTCAAAATGGATATGTCCTATTATTATTCTTGATAATAGCTTCTTCAAAATCTTCACACTCTTCACAAACGAACAAACACAAACCAATTCACAAATAAGGTAACTTCAAAATCAGCGAGACTGAAATTTGGACAAGTTTGAACACAAAACAAAAGATAGCAATATTCTCAAATTTCACTATGGATTAATGAATTTTACGGTAACACTTAGATAACAAATGGTGGATGTATTAACTAAAATTCCAGTGAGGAACTTTGACTCAAACGAGAAAAATAAGATACGCTATGTCAAGTAATATATGTTATACTTTCCAGTTATACATGTCAATAATTACGTTGATTGGAAATACATTTTGCTCCATTCGTCAGATATAGGGTAAGATTTCTTACCTTGACTGGCACAAGATGGCACTTCATCACCGTACGTTCGTGACCCCTTTTTCTCGTGTCCTTTCTCATTGACACACCAACACTGCTTGCCGTACCCCTGATGTTCGAAGCACTGAACATCCTCGTAATCGCCGTTGTCTTTACACTTAGGAGTAAACGTATCATCCATCTGTTCCGCCATCTTGCGTTCAACTTGACAGGGTGTTTCTGTTTCACAAGAAAAATATTTAATGCTTTCGTACATTTAAAAATGATTTTTTTGTACTACCTAGATTACACTCGTCGCCATCCAATGTGACCATTAAAAAGCATGTGACTTGGAAAGCTTGTTCTACGTTTGGTTGAACATGATGTTAATGTTGCCTTAACATATGGCGTCAAGGAATCACTTATTAATAATTAATAAGATTAATAATATTAGAATGCTTTTAATCATTACCCATTACAGGGCAACGCGCTGACCACATGACCGTATGACCACATTTAATGTATACTTCTATGCACGGGTGTTTTACTGCCAAACAAGCGTTTACACGCCTTATTTGGTAAAACCAGCCAACTTCGCATCGAAATGTGTCGACTTAATGTACAGACACCGTGCTGCATGGAAGTATGCGCATACACTAAATGTGGCCATACTTTTGCGCGTTGCACTGTAAAAGAAGTGCCTAAATTAATTTCCCACGTAGATGCTAGTATTTTGCCAATATTTAGTCATCCAACAATAATATTCAAAAGGATTCTTTTGTAGAATCAGCACGTGAAGAACTTACTTGGCTGCTGACTTGTTGAGGTGTTTGCTGGTTTTGAAGACTGCGCTGTCGCATAGGAGGGATAATTATTGTACGATTGTGGAGGCGATGCATAAGGTGTAGGTGGAGGTGCTGGTGCTGGTGAAGAAGATCCATATGCTTGATAAGGGCTAGATGAATACGCAGCAGGAGCAGGAGCAGGTGCTGGGGCCTGTGGAGGGGGTGCAGCTTGAGCTTGAGCTTGAGCTTGTGAGACAGCAGCATCTGACTGTGAAGGGGTTTCAGATGATGAGGCTGATTGACTCGCCTGTGACTGATATGGTGCTGCCGCTGGTGCAGAGGCTGAAGATGCTGTATTATCATACTGTTGTTGTCCCTGAGCGGCTGATGTTGTAGTGGCTGAATCTGTTGACGCCTCACCCTGTGTCTGATATGGTGCTGCCGCTGGGGCAGAGGCTGAAGATGCTGCATTGTCATACTGTTGCTGTCCCTGAGCGGCTGATG